TGTTAACCTTTTGCCATCTTTCCTCATAATCAGAACATCACCAACACCTTCAGCTGCTAGAGTGTTGTCATTTGCAAACTTCACTGTGTTCTTCGACGAGGGCTTCATGTTGACAAACCAATCTTTCCTTCCAGTCATGTGTGATGAGCATCCTGAGTCCAAGTACCACTGATCTTGGAATCTTTCTTCATCTTTTGTTGTGACCATTAGCAACGTTTCTTCTTCTTCATGTTTCGCCAGCTTTGCATCAGTCTCTTGATTTCTCTTCTTTTCTGGACAATCACTAACATAATGACCATACTTCTAGCAATTGAAACACTGAATGTGGCTTTTGTCTGGCTTTCGACCTCCACATCTTCCTTTACCTGTAGCACCCCCTCTTTGGTTGCCTTGGTTCCAAGGTTTCTTCTGATTCGACTGGTTTCCTCCTTTGTTGCCATTTCAGCTACCTTTGCCTTTTCTTTCCTTTTCTGACTGCGCCTGCAAAGCCATATCTTTCGACTTCCCTGCAGCTCTCTCAGCCATCCTCTGTTCATGAGACTTAAGAGCCCCTTGAAGCTCTTCCTTTGTCAACACTGACAGATCTTTCGACTCTTCTATGGCAACTACCACGTGGTCGAATTTTGGAGCCAACGATCTCAAAATCTTTGAGACAACTGCTTTCGTCGTCAGCGCTTCTCCACATACTTTGATTTGATTCACCAACTTCGTAACTCTGGTGAAGATATCTGTAATGCTTTCGTTATCTTCCATCTGAAGCAACTCATATGTTCTCTTGTGAGTTTGTAACCTCGCCTCTTTCACCTTCTCTGCGCCTCCAAACGACTTTTCAAGAATCTCTCATGCTTCTTTTACTGAATCAACATCACTAAACTTTTCAAAGTTATCAGGATCAACACACTGATGAATTATAAAGAGTGCTTTATAATCCTTCTTCTTCAATTCTTTGTGCGCAGCCTTTTCCGCCTCCGTTGCGTTCTCCACCAACGATGTTACTCTGTCCTTCCCAAGATCCCAAAGATCTTGATAACAGAATATCACCTTAACCTGCTTACATCAATTCTCATAATTGTCTTTCTTGAGAATTGGCAGGGTTGCCGGAAAGTTGCCGTTTGGATAGTTCATCGCCATCACTATCTTCCTTCCTTGAATCTCTTAACCGGAGCTCTAGATACCAGATGTTGGAAATTCACCTCACACCCTATGAAGAATTCCCTTCAATCTTGATCTCAAGATTGATGAACAAACCCACAATATGATAATGATGGTAATAACAAGTAATTATCAAGAACAACAAAAGAGAAGAAGAATAACAAACAAGAAAGAGAATAATGAGAGAAGAAGTATTTGGAGAGAATGTGTTACCCACAACTGTGGGATTTCTTATTGAACTTTCACTTGCTAACTGCAACTGTGAAATCTGTTCTGTTGTGATGTAGGATACAAAGCAAGGCACCCTATTTATAGTTTTAGATTTACACTAGCCCAAAACATAAAAGGCCCGAAATATTCTAAATCAAATCTAATCATATGATATCAAATCTAATCATATGATATCAAATTAAATCTGTTTACATAATGAATTATATTTAACACACAATAAGTTTGATTCATCATAATTGTCCTATGTGATAGTAAAGTTTGACTTCGAATACTTTAAAAATAACATTCTTATGTTAATAAGATCTCATGATTAATTCACCCTTAACGCACCATTAAAAATAACATTCTTATATATATATATATCTGTGTGTGTGTGTTAGTAATGACACAAAAGAAAATACAATCAATATTGATTTTTGTAGGGTTTACTCCAATAGTACTCCTCAACATCAGTCATCTTGTTGTAGTTGTAAGTTGTAACCTTTTATAAAAATGGGACGACTTTCCCTGTAAATGGGAAACTGATGGTTAACGAGGTGGTAAAAAATAACTCATGACATTTCTTTCTACATCTCACTTTAAAGAAACATTACTTAAAGTCTTTGTAAGAAGATTTATACAAGGGAAAACAACATTTGTTAGGTTGACTGCTCAGTTAAATTCAAGTTCCCCTGTCTACCTCTCTTCTACAATGAAAAAAAATCCTATAGTAGATTTTACACCCAAACTCTTGCAAATGATTTTAAAGGATCTCATAAAGGACCAACTATTAAGATGAAATTGGGAATGTGACACATTCACTACTTTGATGATGCCACACTCGAAATCTGTTGAAGATATTATAACCTATATATCTTCAATAATATTATTATACATGCAGAACTCCTTCAGAGTAGACCCCTAAGGATGATTCATAACAATGTGTTCTGCATCCCTATCTAGTGGAAGAAACATCAAACAAAATGGAATGTGTTAACGAAATACTTGTTACAATAAGCATAAGTATACCCTATCACTAGGGTTGATCTTAACTTTTTAGAGGCTCGGGGCAAATAATAAAAATAGATAAAAATATAATATTTTTAAAAAATATTATTTATTTAAATTGTAAATAGTATCAACAACATCAAAATCAGTTATTTATATGTGTGACTAACATAAAAAAAAAGTCATATTCTAATCAATATTCGATGGTAGGACCGTTTCAAATAATTTGGAGTCTCTGTTCCAATTTTAAAAGTCAATCTTTAAGAAAAATAATTTAAAAAGAGTCATATTTTTGACAATGTTTCAATGTTTGACAATGTTCTTGCAAGTGATGTTGCATGTATTTACTTTTTAAAATTGTAGTTTTTGTTTTCTTCTTTTATTTATTTAACCAATTTTTTTTATTAGAACTATAACTCATACAAATTTGATTTTTGTATTTGTTTTCATGTAGAATTGCCATATATATATATATATATATATATATATATATATATATATATATATATATATATATATATATATATATATATATATATATATATATATATATATTAAAGAAAATTAATTCTCTAAATCTACCATATAAGAACATATATTGTTTTGGAAAAACTAAAAATTCCTTTTGTTCCCACAACGCGCCACGTGGCTTCCTCTACAATATTTCTTCCATTTCGTTTGGCTACATATGCTTTGAAAATTCAAAAAACACTTTTATTCTAGCCTCATTCTCTCTCGTCCTTTCTCTCTCTATTCTTCTTCCTTCTGCATTTTCTTCTTCCCCTTCTTCTTCTTTCTCCCTCTTCCTTCTTCCTCTTCTTCATATATCTCGCTAACGAATCCCTAACCGAAGCCAATAAAACTATCAAACTCGATCCTATAGATGCGATTTCATATCTTCTCATTGCTACAGGTGGTTTTGTCTTACCGTTTCGTATCTGACTTTTTGTTGTTGATCTTTCAGGAAGTATGGAACCAGGATTCGAAGGGTAAGCTAATGTTTTGGTTACTTCAACCATTGAATGTGCTGAAACCCAATCTTCTCAAGAAAACCCTAAAAGATGATGTGCTGAAACCCAATGTTGCGGTTTCGGCCTTTGAAGTAAGTGTTTTATTTTCTGAGTAGTCCATTATATTTGTTATGTCTGTTGTGTTGTGTTATGGCTGTTGAAGTTAATTTGATTGAGGTCTAATTTTTAGTACGGAAGGGCTCCGATGAAATTAAAGTGTTGATTATTTGAAGTTGAAGATTATTGAGGTAGAGTTTTGCATTTTTTTCTGTAAAATTAGATTTGATTACTGAGGTAGAGTTTTGAAGTAAGTGTACACATTCTCTTTCATTTTCTTTATGTTGATTGTCTTTCTTACAGCTCCAAGGAGAAACTCACTTTTGGGTATGACTTTTCATATTCAATTCCTAATTAATTGATTGTTTTCACAAGATTTTATAGTGTTATGGTATTTGAACTTGAACAAACTGTTATTGTTCCATGCGTTTTTCTTTTTTATGTTATACTCTTCTAATTTGTTCTGAGGTTCTTATTTTGTTGTTTTTCTTAATCATCAGTGGTTGTGATGAGAGTTTACACATTAAGGTGATATAATTTGTACTTCAAAGTCATATGTATATTTATAAGTCCTTTTTTCTTCTTTCTTATGTTATACTTACGGATCTACCGTCTTTCTTCATTGTGGGCATGTCATGTAAATTGCCACTTAAAAGGGAGGAGGTTTATGGACCTGAAACTACAATGACTGCCATAAGCAAACAGGAAATCCAGTGCATCACTGCAAGTTATTGATTATCCATATTCTTATGTCAATATTTAGTCTTAAAGTATATTCATGTGTAGTTTGTTGTGATTGTTGTTTTACTGCAAAAAAACCAATGGCTTTTGGACCTATTTGTAAGAGTTAAAGGGCTCTTGTCAGCATTGAGATTGAGGAATTTTCTTATGTCTCAAGCTATGTTAGCAAGGCAGAACAGAGAGCAAATGCTCTTGACTCGATAATAATTTCTAAGCTACGATGTGTCGTAGGATTGGCAAATCTTGAGGCTAAAAAGTATAAGCTTATTGTTCAAAATGTGAATTTTTTACACAATTGCCACAAGCTGAAATAAAATACACCAAATTGCCACTAGCTGAAAAAAATTTACACAATTGCCACTACTTCTTTAAGGGTTCGTCCTATGGTTGGATGACCCATTGAAGGTCTTCTGGACGCAGCATGGGTTCGGCCAATGGATGGCCGACCCTTAGCTAGCTGCTTTTTTTTGTTTTGTTTTTTTTTGTTTTTTTTTATTTCAGAAATTATTATATTATTTTTTTAATAATTTTGTGTTTTTAATTGTTTTTAATATATTAAAATTATTTAAATAATATTATATAATAATAAAAAAATAATTTAGTTATTTTAAAAATAATTTAATATAAATAATATTAATTTCATATTATATAATTAATTATTAAATATAAATAATTGTTTTTTACATTATCTAATTAATTATTTATTATGTATTAAAATTAGTTAAATGTTATTTTATATTACCTAATGAGTATATAAAATAATAAATTGAATCATAAAAAAAGAAAATATTATTAATATTTAAGAGTGGATAAAATACATTTTTAGACGGGCCGATTTGATGGGCCTGCCACGTTTGGACATTTTCTCCGCATATGACCGATTTCTCGACAAATCCCACATCTTCTCTTTTCTTTCTCAAAATCGTCCATTTCAGTTGTAATTCTTGTACTATTTGGACGCCCTTTCTTATTTCGTCGCATTGTCTCGTCATGGCAAAGAGTGAATCCTTCATATGTTGGCCAATTTTGCTGGTGTGGTAGTCCAAGGAAGCTTTGGCTGTATACTTTGAATACACTTAGAACTTTGAAAACATCTGGTATGTGCATGTTATGGTCCTGTCGTATACTGGCACATGCTGCGATTACATGAGAGCAAGGTAAATGAAATGCCTGAAACCTCCCACAATCGCACCACCCTCTCCTGAGATCAACGCTAAAAGTACCTAATGGTCGGCCATCGCGTTGGTTAATGCATTCGGCAACCATAAAACAGAATCTCTCGCGATCAAATTGAATGACGTTATGACTGCTAGATTTAATAGCCTCGTCGGCCATTCCCTTGATACAGTTTTTCGTGAAAGTTTGACCGGATGCCAACAGTTTTGTCCAATCGTGTCCTCGTTTTCCAAACAGCGATCCTAGACGATAGTACGTTGACTTGACCAATGCTGTAATAGGAAGGTTTCGGGTAGCCTTAAGTACCGAGTTCATAGATTCGGCTAAATTTGTGGTCATGTGTCCCCACCGCTGTCCTCCGTCAAACGCCCTCGACCACTTCGCTCTGGGAATATTGTCAATCCACTCCAAAGCTGCTCTATCTGTTCTTCGTAATTCGCCCCTGTAGTAGTTAAATGTTGCCTCTGTTAGTGCATATCCTGAAAATAATTAAACAAAATGATTAGTAAAACAAAATGATCAAAAAATTATCAATAAAACTTGTGAAGATGTAGACATACCCATGTTGACAACTGTTTTTCGTAGTGCTTTGTTTCTGAACTCACGCATGAAGTTTTGCGCAATATGTCTGATACAGTAAACATGTGAAGATGGAGGAAACTGCCACCCATTTTCAGGATCATCGTAAGCACTCTTGATTGATGGATGTCGGTCAGATATTAGACAAAGATTGGCCTGGGGGGTCACGTGCATTCTCAAATTCTTGAGAAAGAAACTCCAACCATCCTTTGTCTCTCCTTCAACCAATGCAAACGCTATCGGAAAAATGTTACCATTTCCATCTTGTGCCACAGCCATTAACAAAGTCCCTTTGTACTTGCCGTACAACCAGGTTCCGTCTATTTGCACGATTGGTTTACAGAAACTAAAACCAATATTGCCGCATTTGTATGTTATTTTTATTCACATTTCTGTTATTTATCTATTTGAATTTATTGATTTGTATTTATTTTCAATCATTCAACAAGTTTGTATTTATTTGTTTTTATATTTGTAACAGTTCGATAGCGAGAGATTCAGACTACATTCTCATGCTATCGATGCACCAAGCAAAGAAATTAAACCGTTTTTGGAACGAGCTGGTTTCGCAAAAGTTGCAGAAATCTCCTCGATCAAAGTTGATTCAAAGCTTGTAATCGCTATGTTGGAGAGGTGGAGACCAGAAACACATACTTTCCATCTACCAACAGGTGAATGTACCATCACTTTGGAGGATGTGAGTATGTTATTGGGTCTTCGCGTGAATGGTAAGGCCGTGAATGGTCCTACTCAGGTAGGAGGTGATGTATATATGGAACATTTAGGCGTAGAACCTACAACATCTGATAAACATAAAGGGTACGTTAAAATTGTTTGGCTACAAACTACATTAGCACGATTACGACAAAAAGCAAGACCAACCGATGAGGAAAATCTTTTACATGCAAAAATATATATTTTATTACTAATAGCTAAGGTATTAATGCCAGACAAGAGCCATAACTATATGCATTCTTCTTGGATACCCCTAGTTGGAGATTTAGATAAATGCAGAAGATATAGTTGGGGTTCTGCTTGTTTGGCTACATTATATAGACATATGTGTAAAGCATGTATGGTAGGGGTCAAAAGTATTGGTGGGTGTGTTCTACTACTAAGTGTTTGGACATATTGGCGTATACCACTAATAGCTCCAGAGTCTCCCGCCACTGCACACCATCCTTATGCAACAAGGTAAATTTTGTTTACATTTTCTTTATCATTTATTTTCTTTTTGTTTCCATCCCTAAATTATTTATCTTTTTTTTTAACATTGCAAGATTTGTTCGAAGAGGCATGGCTTATCAAAATAATCCTCGCCACTACGTCCGAGGATTTAGATTCGCACTAGACAGATTAAGGGCTAACGATGTAAGTTTGTTAACGCAACATTCTCTAAATATGTGTCACCCATTGTATTAAAACTCTAACACTTATATTTTCTGTAACAGTTTATTTGGAGGCCATACCCAAGCTACCCCGAATGCGTCCTTCAAGATAGCCAGATTTGGAGCGCTACAACATCAATTATCAGTTTCCATATCGTTGAAATGCATCAGGCTGATAGGGTCAAATTGCAGTTTGGATTTCAACAAGATATCCCTCCTCAGCCTAGATGTCTACGTCAACAACATGAGACTGATATGCCTAATACATGGGGAGATCATTGGCGCAATATAAATAAAGAAGAAAATAACGAGTGGAGAAACAGAACAAATTTGACCCTACGAGGTAACATGGTTAACGGTAACTGTGTTCATAGTGCTGAATATATGCAATGGTTTTTATCCATTCCATTTATGCACGCTTCTCAAGGTCAGTTCCTAGAGGACCCCCGTCAGTATGCAACGTCTTCATCACAACAAAGATCCTCTTCGCCCATGCCTCAAGAAATGCCTCAGGTGAACCCTTCACAATTTGAAACACAGACATCTTCATTCAACCAGCCAACATTCTTTGCCGCCTCCTCTCAACAACCAACACAACCACAACCCCAACCAACATATCAACGCACTCATACTACATTCTTTGCCACCTCCTCTCAACAACCAACACCGTACACCCCAACCCCACAACCAAACTACTACTATCGACAACAATATCAGGAACAAGCCACATTTCAACCTTCTTTTCAATTCACTCCGATCCCTCAGCCTAATTTTGATTTCTCTTACCCCCAACCACAACACCAAACATTTAACTCTTCAATGTCTCATCCAAGTTCATCCGGTCGCACCGACAATGTTTATTACCCTCCCATCCAACAAAACCCTCCAACCACTTTCACCCAACCATTCCAGTCAGCCCCTAACTTTACCCTAACGGATGATCAACTCATGGAATGGCCAGGTTTTTCGGTTACTGATGTGGACATGCTTGATACATCACGTCAACCTGAAAATGAAGAGTTGACTTCCGACTCTACCCCATCACCTCCAACATCACCTCCAATACGGCAAACTCAAGAGTTAGGCAGGGGGAAACGTGTGAAAAAGAGTACATTGTGTGGAACTGGCGGTCATTTGCGTAGATAAATATGATGTATTTTCTCCACTCATCAATATTAATAAAATATCTTTTTTTATTTTATCTAATTATTTAGTTAAACAATTAATTATATAATTTATTATTTTATATAATTATTTATCATTTTGTATATATAAAAATATTAAAAAATAATTTGAAATAATTAAATTACTTATTAGGTAATATAAAATATCATTTAACTAATTTTAATATATAAAAAACAATTAATTAGATAATGTAAAAAACAATTATTAATATTTAATACTTAATTATATAATGTAAAAAACAATTATTAATATTTAATAATTAATTATATAATGTAAAAATTATATTATTTATATTAAATTATTTTTAAAATAATTAAATTATTTTTTTATTATTATATAATATTATTTAAATCATTTAAATATAAAAAAATCTATTAAAAACAAAAAATAATAAAAAAAAATTCATTTTAATTCTGAAATTAAAAAAAAAAAAAAAAGACATAGAGCAGGGTCGGCCATCCATTGGCCGAACCCTTGCTGCGCCAAAATGCCCTCCATTGGGTCGTCCAATGGTTGGACGAACCCTTTCTAGGTTTGTGGCAATTGTGTAAATTTTTTTCAGCTAGTGGCAATTTGGTGTATTTTATTTCAGCTTGTGGCAATTGTGTAAAAAATTCTCAAAATGTATTCTCTTTTTCACTCTTTTTGATTCGAAATGGACGTGAAGACAATAGTCGGAGTTGTCGAGGTACGGTAAAGGAGGTGGCTGCTCACCCGAGAGAGGCGGTATCCCTACTAAGACTCCACAATACCATAAAGTCGTTTGTCAATAGATTAAGACCATTTATAGAGTTGAAAAATCCTATCCATGCACTTAATATACTTGGAACAAATTCTTTATTCATCTTTTCTTACAATTTTATGTAGTTATGTGTATGTCCTGTCAAAACAATGTATATAGCTTGATAATAGGTGACTTCACATGTTGTTGCTAAGTTGACTGATTTCAAACAAAACATTTAAATATGCAAAACAATCTTATCATGCCCCTTGCATTTTGTAATTGTATTTACCATTATGCATTTGCCTTCATAAGTTTGGAATCACTAAAATGCATATATTTCTAATTATAAAGTACGCTAGCATGTTTTTATTGGTTGAGTTTCAAATAACTTTTGTGAGAGTCGGATCTGATATTCAAAATCCATTTTATCAATTATACCAATGAATCGTTGATTCCTTACCAGGTTACTGATAATTCATTATTTTGTTTCAAAAAGGATATTTGTTGATAGTCATTTTTCTTTTGATTTTTTCATCTTAATTGTCAGACAATTGTTGACTATACTCCATTACACCTGTATTACTACTACTCCATTAATTCTCATAGATGTGACTACACAGTTAAGTCTTGAGACTCGCATTTTTAGAAAAGTGCAGAGTACAGACTATGCCTCTTACTTCAAGTGATTAGACAAATGAGTTTTCTATTCTCTCTCTGTGTGTGTAAAAAAGACCTTTTAACATGCATTTCTCTTCCCTATGTTATAGCAACCTATATCTAAAATATGGTGAGCATTGTATAACCACTTTGTAGTGAAGTTTGCTACTCATGTGTGATATTTGTCTTTTTCAAAAAATAAAATACGGGCAAAAATATTTGTTTAAAAAAAAAACATAAAACAAATTTAATACGGGTAAATATAAATAAAAAAGGGCGTGTATATTTAATTATTTCACTGTGTTATATAATTAATAATATTTAACTATATTTCATTATGTTGTATAAATAATTTTAATTATATTTAATTATTTTGTATTAATAACTAAAATGTAATAACTTTAAAAAAAATTAACACTCATTACTCAATTCAATAATTACTTATAATAACTAAAATGTAATAACTTAAAAAAAATCTTAACACAAAATATAGCATAAAAATTAATAAAAAATTAAAATGTTAACGGGTCAAATTCTCATTGATCAATATATATTTATTTATATAATCTAAAAAATATATATACTTAAACTTAATACGGGAAAAAATGTGTTTTTTTATAAATTATTTATGTTACTAATAAAGAAAAAAATGAAACAAATATTTAAAAGAATATATATTAATTTTTATTTTAAAATAATCAAAATAATTTTAAAGATGTATAATTGATTTTTGAGTAAGATTATTTTTTAAAATGGATTAAACTAAAGTTTTAAATATTTTTGTAAAAATGTATCATTCATATCCATTATAAATATTATTAAATACATTTTATTTTGTATTAAATATTTATGAAAAAATATTGATAAATTTAACATTTTATTCTAGAAATGAGTCAAATATTAATACTTGAAATTTCAAATTCATTTTTAAAAATGGTTAATTATTTAAAATTTTGTTACTTGATCTTTATGTGTATCTGATAAAAGAGATATTTTTAATAATCCTTACATAATTAGAAGATTGTAGGAAA